CTGATCTTTTGGGGAACGAAAAAGCAGAGGAGAGCCTCCCGGTCTGTGTGTCTGTGTCTCTCTAAAATAGAAACACAGATAGCCATTTCTCCTTCCCTCTCACCTGAAACTTCTAGTTCACAGCTCCTGCTCTAACACTGAATGCTCTGCTGCTTTGTGTCCTTCTCAGACACCCAGTAATATGCACCACAGTAAACATTCTCCTATGGATGTAGGATGATGCACTAGTAGTTAGTCCCTGTGGTTTCTTCTCCACATTTTTTATTCTTTTTTAAAACTTTTATTTAATGAAAATAAATTTCCAAAGTGCAGCTCCTGGATTACAATGGCTTCGCCCCCCCATAACTACCATCCCACTCCTACCCCTCCCATCTCCCGCTCCCTCTCCCCTTCCATTCACATCAAGATTTATTTTCAATTCTCTTTATATACAGAAGATCAGTTTAGCATATATTAAATAAAGATTTCCACAGTTTGCACCCACATAGAAACAGAAAATGAAAAATACTGTTTGAGTACTAGATATAGCATTAAATCACACTGTACAGCACATTAAGGACAGAGATCCTACATGAGGAGTAAGTGCACAGTGACTCCTGTTGTTGACCTAACAAATTGACACTCTTGTTTATGGCATCAGTAATCACCCTAGGCTCTTGTCATGAGTTTCATAGGCTATAAAAGCCTTTTGAGTTCACCGACTCTGATCCTATTTAGACAAGGTTGTAGTCAAAGTGGAAGTTCTCTCCTCCCTTCAGAGAAAGGTACCTCCTTCTTTGATGACCCGTTCTTTCCACTGGGATCTCACTCATGGAGATCTTTCATTTAGTTCATTTTTTTTTGGACATAGATCTTGGCTTTCCATGCCTGAAATACTCTCAATGCCTTTTCAGCTGGATCCACATGTCTTAAGGGGCTGATTCTGAGGCCAGAGTGCTGTTTAGGACATCTGCCATTCTAATCGTCTGCTGTGTATCTTGCTTCCCGTGTCGGATCTTTCTCTCTTTTTTATTCTATCGGTTAGTATTTGCAGACACTAGACTTGTTTATGTGATCCCTTTGGCTCTTAGTCCTATCATTATGATCAATTGTGAACAGAAATCAATCACTCAGACTAGTGAGGTGGCATTTGTACACGCCACCTTGGTGGGATTGAATTGGAATGCCCTGGTATATTTCTAACTCTAACATCTGGGACAAGTCAGCTTGAGCATGTCCCAAATTGTACATCTCTTCCCTCTCTTATTCCCACTCTTACATTTAACAGGGATCACATTTCAGTTTCAACACTTAAGAATAACTGCGTATTAATTACAGAATTTAACCAATAGTATTAAGTAGAACAAACAAAAAAATACTAAGAGGGATAACATATTAAGTTGTTCATCCACAGTCAGGGCTAGCGCTGATCAGTCACGGTTTCTCATAGTGTTCATTTCACTTTAAAAGTTTCCTTTTTGGTGCTGGTTAGTTTACTCCAATCAGGGAGAACATATGATATTTGTCCCTGGGACTGGCTTATTTCACTCAGCATAATGTTTTCCAGATTCCTCCCTTTTGTTGCAAATGACCAGATTTCATTGTTTTTGACTGCTGTATAGTATTCTAAAGAGTACATATCCCATAATTTCTTTATCCAGTCTGCTGTTGATGGGCATTTAAGTTGATTCCAGGTCTTAGCTATTGTGAATTGAGCTGCAAGAAACATTAAGGTGCAGATTATTTTTTTGGTTGCCAATTTCATTTCCTTTGGGTAAATTCCAAGGAGTGGGATGGCTGGGTTGAATGGTAGGGTTATCTTCAGGTTTCTGAGGAATCTCCAGACTGACTTCCATAGTGGCTTGACCAGTTTGCATTCCCACCAACAGTGGGTTAGGGTCCCTTTTCCCCCACATCCTCGCCGGCATCTCCACATTTTAACATGGCTTGATGAAGAATGGCTGCTGCACAGTTTTCACAAAGGACTGAAGCCTGGGCATTTTCTTTGCCTTGTGGTGATTGAACCCTTGGCCCCATTTGCTTTCCATTCTCGCCATGTGAATCGCATTACTGAGGAGCAATGGTTGAGCATGGCAGTGGTAAAACGGTATGTTTCTGTGACTTTTCTTCAGTTGTTTCCTTGTGGGAACTGGAATTCTTGCCCTTCATTGTCTTCCTTTTCCTTTCCCTTTAATGAGCAGGTACATAAATGAGGTTCAGGCGATCATATTTTGCCATACTTGCAATCTCTGTGGTAACTTTTGTTTTTTTCTTGGTAGAGTAGGCTGGAAAATGTACCTTACCCCCAAAATATCATCTTCCCAGTTCCCTGCAACTTATGGATGTGAAACATTGTGTGGCAATGTAGACTTGCTGGAATCATTTAAATCAAGGACTCTGAACTAGAAGGTTTTCCAGGATGATGTGGTTAAGGTCAAATAACCACAGGGTTCCTTTTGAGAAAGGAGCGAAGAAAGTAGCAGTTGGAGTGAAGAGGTTACAGTGGCAGCAGGTGTTAGAGAGATTCTGTATGAAGATGAAGACTGAATAAGAGAAAAAGGCTACAGGCAACCTCTGGATGCTGCAGAGCTTTAGGCTCCTTTCAGGGCTTCCAGTCAGAACCAGTACTACTCACAGCTCCTCATTCCTATATTGCACTTCTGTTCTCCAGAAGCATGCAGCAACACATTGGCATCTTAAGACTCTTGATATCCATAACTAACGGGGGACAGACTTTTATTTTAAGCCAGGGAGATTGCAGTGCTTTTCTGTGTTAGTGAGGGGAAATAAAGTCAGAACATACCTTTCTCTTAGCTCTAGAGATAATATAGGGCATGTTTAATTTTTGACAGGCTAATTTCTTTTGCTGTTGAAATATTATGCAGAATTGAGTTAATAGTAGCCCCAGTCATTACCCTATTCAGGAAGCCACCTGAATTTCCTTCAATTCTGTTGTTCTTTTTTTTTTTTAATCTCTGCTCACCAGTTCTTTCTTGTTGCTCCTCTCCCTTGGCATAGACTTTAATTTAGTTGACCTCATCTCTCAGAAGTTAATTCCAAGGCCGGCGCCGTGGCTCAATAGGCTAATCCTCCACCTGTGGCACCAGCGCCCTGGGATCTAGTCCCGGTCAGGGCGCTGGAGTCTGTCCCGGTTGCCCCTCTTCCAGGCCAGCTCTCTGCTATGGTCCGGGGGTACAGTGGAAGATGGCCACTTGGGCCCTGCACCCACATGGGAGACCAGGAGGAAGCACGTGGCTCCTGGCTTCGGATCGGCGCGTTGTTGTCTACATGCTCTGAGATTGTTACAGAGATTTAATATGAATTTTGCCTCATGACATTTTGTTCGTTCATGTTCTTCCAATTAATTGGTGTAGTTGGACTTTCCTAATTTTTATCAGTTTGATATATGGTAGCTTGTTTGCATTGCTGACTTTAACTTTACTTTTTCTGGGAGGTAACTGGGGTAATTATTTCTTTATAAATCTCCTATCCTTCAATCAGTGGTCATGGTAAATGACAGAAAGCCTAGAGACAGGGAGACTGAATGAGGCTAGCCTTATGGGCATTGCTGACGTTCAAAGTAAACACATATTGACCATATGACTGAAGATGTGTTCTATACTGGATGGAAGGCAGAACAGAGGTGCTCCAGATGTGAACTTCTTGTAACAGGGCCCAGATGTTTTCTAGCCAGGGAGCCAGAAATTGTAAATCCAAGGGTTTTCTCTTCTCTGAAAGCAAAAGGGGAGTGACGATGAGCAGTGGCAGAAGAGGCAGGTCTCATTGTGAACCAACATGACACTGATCTCAGTAGAAACAGAAACTACATAGATGTATAGATTTAAAACATATATTTTTTGACTGGCAGATTGGACAGTGAGAGAGAGAGACAGAGAGAAAGTCTTCCTTTTGCTGTTGGTTCACCCTCCAATGGCCCCCGCGGCTGGCGCGCTGCAGGCCAGCGCACCGCGCTGATCCAATGGCAGGAGCCAGGTACTTATCCTGGTCTCCCATGGGGTGCAGTGCCCAAGTACTTGGACCATCCTCCACTGCACTCCCTGGCCACAGCAGAGAGCTATCCTGGAAGAGGGGCAACCGCGACAGAATACAGTGCCCCTACCAGGACTAGAACCCGGTATGCCAGCGCCACAAGGTGGAGGATTAGCCTAGTGAGCCGCAGCGCCGGCCTGGATATGTAACATATTTTTAAACTCTCACCTAGAAGCCAACATGCAGATTGAATTTTGAAATTTAAACCTTCAACTTTTCTTACCAATTTAACAAACATAAGACTTCTTTGTGTCATTTTGATATATGTATACAGAGTGTAATTTTCAAATATTCTTCTTGTTTGTGTATGACATACACTACTAATAGTGTATTTATCTTAAATCTCGTGGTAGGATTTCCATTAGTTAAATTGCGTCATCTTTGGTCATTGATGGTAGCAAATCTGTGGGCCTCCACCTATTTGCTGAACCCCTGGAATGGAGTGATGTCATCAATCTGTCACAGAATATTCCTGGTTACTGTTGACGTACTGTGTTCCAGGCTGGACAGTAATTAGGCGAAGAGAGAGACTCAGGCGATTTGTTCTTGGGTATTCCCATTTCATTCTTTATCAGAGGTGACTTGCTGGGTGCCCAGTTGTAGAGAGGAAGGTAGTAGATTTGAGTAACTTTCCGAAGGTGGAACATACTAATGGAAACCAAAGGCAAATTATTTAGAACCCATATACCATCTCCTGATTTCAAAGAGATCAAAAGGTATGTCTTAGGATATTATCTAGTAACCGGTAATCAAAAACTGCCTTCTGAAAAAGAAAGGGAATAGTCTAATTGTGGAAGAGGAGAGGAGAGAGGGGAAAGGTGGGAGATGGGCTGTGGGTGAAGAGGGGAGAGAGAGAAGGAGAACCTGTGAGTGTGGTGTGTGTGTGTGTGTGTGTGTGTGTGTGTACCAGTCTTCCTGAGGATCCAGGTCACTGAGAGTAAATGACCTGTATTATTATCTGTGCAACACAGGGCCTGTGCTACTTTATGGACTTTCCGTGGGTTGCTACGCCACAGACATGGTGATGCACTATGCTTGACAAATGATTGCTTTCTGAAAGAATTGCAGAGGTAGGTGATCGTCTTATAAGTTTTCCACAAGTAAATTATCCTTTCTTTGTGAGGCAAGTGTGACTGCTTGAGATGAAAGCACACTTAAAACAGTTGGGGCAAGAAAACTTGTTTGAGCAGGGGATGACATTATGACATGGTGTGTTAACAGTTGAGATGCCAGCATCCTACCCTCTGACAGAGGATGCTGGGTGACTCTCTGTTGCTCTGCTTCCATTCCAGTTTCCTCCTAATGCACCTGGGGAAGCAGTGGAATACGGGGGCAAATACTTGGGCCCCAGACAGCCTCATTGGAGCCCCTGGTGAAATTCTTGGCATTTGATTTTGGTCTGCCTGGCCTTGGTAGCCTTTGGGGAACTGAATAAGGATATAGACATGTGTCTCAACCCCTTTCTCTCACTATGTTGCAGAAGAAATAAATAAAAAATAAGCAAATGGATAAATAGTTTAAAAAGAAAACTGAGCAAGGATGAGTTCAAAATCATGTGAAGAACTTGTTTACTAAGGGATTTATCCAATAGTCCCACCTGTTCAAGTGCACCCACATATAGTACAGAAACAAACCAGGGGTGACAGATGTTAATATATAATGTGTTGCCTACATACCGTCTTCCAGCTATAAAAACACATTACACCTGAATTTTAATTTGGAACAGACTAAGCTTTTATCAATAACCTGTGATCAACCTATTTCTTGCTTTTATAAGACTTCAGGATATATGGGGAGATCCTTAGGGAGAAGTCTTCATGTGACACATTATGGCCTTAGATTGATGAACACTTTCTCATCATTATAGGCAACTTGCATAGGAAACTTGGATTGTTACCATCCCAGAAGAACAGAAAAGGAAAGAGCATGAAGAGATACAGAGGTTTGTATGGGTGGTGGGTATGGTCATGCCTGAAAGGTGCTTTTGTCATTCCTTTCCTTTGACCTAGACGTATGCTCAGAACTATCAGTAAGGGAGGTAGGCAAATAAAACAACAGGTACACAGGTGGACAGAAGATTGCTTATGTGTTCTACTCTGTTGAAAATGAGACACTGTGCAGTACTGCCACCCATAGTATGCACGGATGGAATAATTAACAACTATCTTACCTTACAGCATTTCATTGCAGGAACAGAATGTGGCGGCCATGAGTGGTCATGGAATCTGCCACGTAGAAGATGCTTATTTAAGTATGGACAAATGCAAATATACACCAAATGTGAAACACATCTCTTACTTTATTAACTTTTTCAGTCAAGTATTATTTACAAATATGACCTGCACTGTAACCTAAAAGGACCATACCAACCTGATACCACAAAGCAAAGGCTGCTGCTTCCTTTTGTGCTACTTATCCTGCCTCTCAACTGAGGAGAATCTCACTGGGGCAGGGATGGAGAGACTCATGCAGGGAAAGTAGAAGCTTTCTCACAGTAGAAGGTTTTTCTCATAGCACAGAGATGAGCTGAATGATTCTACTCATCAGTTGACACATTCTGCATAGTCCAGAAAAAAATCTCAAAATGTTTGTCTTGCCTTTTCAGTACTATCTTGGAATCTATGAGGCAGCCTAACTTCTTAAAGGAAAGGATTGTTTTAATTCTTGGTTCTCGAGATTTGAAGTCTGGGGTCCTTGTGTTTTTTTTTTTTTTTTTTTTTTTTTTTTTTTGACAGGCAGAGTGGACAGTGAGAGAGAGAGACAGAGAGAAAGGTCTTCCTTTGCCGTTGGTTCACCCTCCAATGGCCGGCGCGGCCGGCGCGCTGCGGCCGGCGCAGCGCGCTGATCCGATGGCAGGAGCCAGGAGCCAGGTGCTTTTCCTGGTCTCCCATGGGGTGCAGGGCCCAAGCACCTGGGCCATCCTCCACTGCACTCCCTGGCCACAGCAGAGGGCTGGCCTGGAAGAGGGGCAACCGGGACAGAATCCGGCGCCCCGACCGGGACTAGAACCCGGTGTGCCGGCGCCGCAAGGCGGAGGATTAGCCTAGTGAGCCGCGGCGCCGGCCTCCTTGTGTTTTGAAAGGGCAAGAATCCCAAGGTGATACCTAGAACCAGATGTCATGAGGCAGGTAAATAAAACAAGAATACATGAGTCTGTGTTTCTGTGTCAGTCTTACAGACACAGCAGAATTCAGTAAAGTGACCTCTGTGCTAATAATCTGATATAAGCCTAATCACTGCTTAGTGTCCCACCCCTACACCTTGTGGCATCTTATGGACCTAACAACTCAGGTATTTTCAGGAATTGTTTGTTGTATTTTCTTTAAGATTTACTTATTTATTTGGAAAGAATTACAGAGAGGCTGAGTCAGAGGGAGGGATCTTCTTCTGGTGGTCTACTCCCCAGACAGCTACAATGGCTTGAGGTGGGCCTATCTGAACCAGGAGCTTCTTGCTGGTTACCAATATGGATGCAGCATCCCTAGGTCTTGTACCGTCTTCCACTGCTTTCCCAGGCATATGAGTAGGGAAGTGACTTGCAAGTAGAGTAGCTAGGACAGGACTGGCACTCATATCGGATGCGCTCACTGCAGGCATTGGCTTTACCCACTACATATGGTGCCAGCCCCAGGGCTGGCTTCTCTTCTTGGGTGATGGAGGAGTGTCCTTCCTTCCTGTGGCTTCACACTGTCCTTGATTTTCTTCCCCTTCAACAAAAATCTCCAGCCTCTTGTTTCCACTGTCACATATCTCGCCATCCTTTTCACCTTCTTGCCTCCCAGCTTTAAATATCCTCAGGGTGACAGTGAAGATCCCACCATTGTACTCTAGGGTGATGTTCTCATCATAAAAGCCTTGGTCTTCCATCATCAGTAAATTCCCCCTTCACATACTAGGTAATATTCACAAGCTCCAGGGTTAGATTGTGGCCTTCGTGGGCAACATTATTCAGCGTTTCGTAACTATAATGGAGCCATAAAACGCAGTTACAGATAAATGAATACTAAAGTGTGTTACATTTAGTGACAGCACATATTTTGTGACAGCCTTGTTTCATGAAACACATTACAAGTGGGTTCCAAAAGACAATGAAATACACCCTGTTTGCACCAAGCCTAGCACAACCAATTAAACCTCAAAGTTACTTAAGACTTATGTTCCAAAACTTTGGTCATGATCTGCGTGAGTGGCATGCAGCAAACATGAAGATTCACTGAATGGTGAAGCTGGCCTTATTTTTGTGAGCACAACTTCGTTGGGTATCCCCATGCCTGAAACAACATGATTCACTTTCCTACTCTTCTTTTGGATAGATGCACAACCCAGATGAGGTTGCATCTCAAATGGTCATTTTCCCACTGCATTCCAGAAGCCTCAAGAGGCTGCTTTTGAGATTCGTTTGAAGACCTCATGCCATCTTAAGAAAGATGGAGATAGTTCACCCACCTCAAATGATGTGCATTCAGTTTCTTCCTGGAATAGGCCCATTCTTATTGAAGATGGTAAGACAGATGCAAAGGGAAGGTGTGAACTTAGGTGAGAGTTACAACTGAACTGCCGTGGCCAATCCTTTCTCACTCAACTCTTCCCTCAAGATAATGAAGTGCTTCAGGTCACAGCAACTAGACGAAGACTGTGGGGAGTGACACATAGGTAATGTGGCCCCAATAATGGGTCACAGCTCCTCAACACGAACTCGCCATCTGTGGTCACGGAGAGAGCTGCAAACGAGGTCACGGGCACCACTGACACATCTGGAAACCTGTGGCCCCAAATATTGGGAACGATCCCCTGCTCACATACTCTGCTTTTCTATTCCTCCTCACTCAGCTGTTCTATTCCAAAATTTCCCCTGGAACCAATCTTCTCTTATCCTCCTTGCTTGATCATGTGCTTCCCATTGCCTAGTGGAATTGCACAGGGGCATGCCTGCACCCTCAATTATGTACCCCTTTTCTCTAACTAACCTCATGAATACTTCACACCGCATCACACAGATAACCTGTTTTAACTACCCAGCTCTGGAGCTCATATATGAACACTCATCTGTCTGATGAGAATTCACTTTTGCAGACAGCATTCCCTCTTACATATCCACAAACTCTTACTGCACTCACAGCACCTTCAACCTTTCAAAGTGCTGTATGTGGTGAGAGCTGCTGCATGCTTCCTCCAACATGCAGTATCTAGTGTCTCATGGAGTAACACACTTCTGAACCCCTCCAGCACATAGCACACAAATACCTATGCCTTACAACACACACACACACACACACACACCCACACACACCACAGAACACCCATCTGTATGTAATACAACACACACTCAAATCCACGTGATGTGACATTGACATAGAGCCATGTGTGCTAAACACACAGACACAAACATTTTCTTTCTACCTAATTAAAACTTACTGCAGTATTCATATATGTAAGTACTGAATTTATTTCATATTTATTTCAGACCAATTCAAGCCAGTATGTTACAAAGTTACATACATGTGGCACATGATTTCACCACACTGTTTCACTGCAATATGTGAGTGCATCATATACAGCACACCACCTTCATGACACAACTTGATAATCTTAAGAATTCAGTAACAATCAGTGGACTGTGTTAACATTTAACAGCAACAGTGGCATGAGACAATCATGAATATGTATTTTATTCAAGTTCAGAATTCAGCCATTGTTTCATTGGCATGACAAATTAGTGGAGGCCAACAGGGCCAAAAGCAGTAGCCAAGGACTGTGGTACTGAGGAGACCTGAGGGCTGGACCCGGGAAGAAATATAGACAACCCAAAGGGTAGCAGCCCCTTACGCATTTTAAATTGAACCTAAGAGGAAAATGTCATCTTGGATGTGGGAAGGGTGCTCACTGGAAAAAGTCAATCAAGGAGAATAGAAGAAGCTGTGTCCCTGCAGGGAACAATACAGAATATTTAGAGATGTTGGTTATTCTGTAGATAGGATAAGGCCCAATACAGGACTTAAGTGAGGTTACATAAGATATGTGTACATAAGCTTTGGTAAAGCAAGAGAAATGCTAGTTGTATTCCTTCACACACTCTGACACCATTAAAAAAAGAGCTTTAGCACATAGCATGAAGTCCAACCCAATTATATGACTTCTAATCCAAACTCCAGCATCCAATGATGAGACAAATGTGCTGTGCACATGTATGTTATAGTTTTTATCAGGACATGTATTTGGTTGCCTGTGAGATTATGGAATACGTCTATTCTGAGAACTCAGATCATGATCATTAGAATATGTGTGGTTTGGATAAATCAATGAATGAAACATCAACAGCATATTCGTGACCTCTCATTCACATTGCAGACATCTCAATCACCCAGTGTGATCCACAACCTAAAAACTCAATGGAGGGGAAGACCTTGGTCATTGAAGCAGAAGAAACATCTGATAAATTGGAACCCCACATCAGCCACTCACCTTCACCTTTACAACCTCATCCTGGTAAGGACAGCGACAGGTGAGGCTGGGCACATCAGTGCAATGTGTGTGGGTATGTTCAGCAACCATCACGGAAGACAAATGAACACAGAATAAAATAGTGTGCTTAGGGCAAAAAGAACAGTCACAGTCACACAAGGTCAGGGATTAAATATGACAGTTTAACATAAATATGCCAAAGAAAGATGAACACTAATAGTGATTTAAAGAGTCTATTCAGAAAAAAAAAAAAAAAACTGGCAAAGGAATTGGCAACCAGCAACAAATCTGAGCTCGGAGATCGCATATTATATTATTGAATATAGATAGGTCTTGATTATTCAAATTCCCAAGAGAGAATAACTAATTCACAACAGATAGAGCAGCTGTGATTAAAGTGCTGAATGACAGTAGGATGTCCGATGCCGACTAGAAGCAGAAGTATTCTGTGCTCCTGTTATTGCTTGAAATAGGGTTAAAACTGATAACTCAAAGGGTACTGAACTCAGGAAACAAAGAGAATTAGGTAAGAAGTGCCCATTCATGAGGTACAAAGATCCTGAATTCACGCATGTGTATGTAATTATCTCCTTTGAATCATTCTTGGAAATTACCCTAAGTTTAACAGCCTAAAACAATGTATGGGGCAGGGGAGGGAGAGAAATTCAACCTATGTTTAAGGGGGCTGCGAGTCAACGTACTGGCATGACTGGTTTCTTCTGTTGGCTGCCAGACGAGTGTCCTTGCCTGCTGAGGCTTCACTTGCTCCTTGTTTTTCAGCCCCTTTCATTCCCTTCCTCTGTTCTTTGCTTCCATTGCCTCATCTGTCTCCCTCACTTTGAGCTTCCTGCATTTCTCTTGGAGATATCTTAGGGATTACATTCAGAAACCACCAATGTGATAATGGTTATCTTCCCATCTCAAACTTCTCAAATATACAGCATCTTCTAAGTCCCTTTTAACTTACCAGGTAAGATCCACAGGTTCCCGTTGTTAAGACATGGAGATATTGGTTGTGGAGCATTGTGCAGCCTTTCACAACTATCATGGAATTTTTAGACAGTAACAGGGGCATGAATACTAACAACACATGGATTGCACTCTGTGTGACATTACTGTTTCAAGACACACAAAGCAAGTGATAGTATAAATGTGTGCTCTGTCTTTTGAGCCAGCAACACCTGGACAAGAATGAAAGTTATTAAAAACATCTGTTTTGAAGCTTTGACCAGGCACATTTCATGGTCTTCATGAGAGTCTGGCATGTAGTGGACAACTGACATTCACTAAATGGATGAAGTTGCTTTCATTCCTGTGAGAGCAAGTCTCATGTGTGGCCACCTGCCCGAAACAACATATCCAGTGATACATTGCCATTTAGATGCAGAAACTGGATGATGTCACATCTCATGGATGTCATTTTGTTGTTTTTCCCCAGCATTGCAAAAGCCTCAAAAGGATGCCTCTGAGATGTGTTTGCAAGGCCTGGTACATCTTAACAAGGACGGAGAGAGTTCATCCAACTCAGATGATGTCTGCTTTGTTTCCTCTTGGAACGAGTCCATTCTTATTGAAGACGGTAAATCAGATGCGAAGGGAAAGCATCAAGCTATGTGACATTTGAAATTGGGTACTGTTCCAAGAAAAAGTCACAGGTTCTCAGCACAGGTCACGAGGAATGAGCACTAGGGGACTTTGAGGGTGTGACTATGGGATGCCCTTAAAGTATGGAAACCAGAACAGAGAACAGAATAAACACATGAAACAAATACCTGTGCACAGACTAACTTGTTATACTCCTGACAAAAAGAATGTAGGCTTATTCTACATGATAGTCTGAAATTCTTTTGTACTCACATAAAGATCCTTGGGATGACATTTATAACCAACATGGATGATAAAGGGTTATCTGTGCACCACAAATTCTGAGAAAAATGGCATCTAAGTGTCATCATTGGCAATCTCGGGAATGTCCAGGGGCTACAGTGATGAATCCGTGAACAGTGTGGGGTGGGTGTATTACGCAAGCTTTCACAGCAGTCATACAAATGTTAGAGAGAACGAAGGAGACATAGATAAGTGAACATCACAGTCTCTTACGTCAGTTGTACCCTGACAGCATATTTTTAAGACAACGCACCTACAGTGGCTCCACAAAAACTTGTTATGTACATCGTGTCTAATTAATTAGCCTTTGACACCCAGATACAACTGAAACATTTTTAAACACTTCCCATTTGAAATTTGTCCAGGAGGCAGACTGTGGTCTGCATAGGACTGGCACTCTTAGGATGGTTGCTAGTCAATAGATGGGGAATTCAGCACCATTCCTTTGAAAGCAAGTCCCCTGTGGGCTCAAATGCCTTGAACAATATATGCATTTGACGTGCTGTTCATTTGAATAGATGCAGAAGCCAGATGAAGTCACATCTCAAGGTTGTCTTATTGTCATCTTGTCCCCCCAGAAGGCTCTCAGGCACTGGAGAATGCTCCTGAGTCATGTGTGACGTTCCCATCCCATCTAAAGTCAGAAGGAAAGAGATCCTCAACATCAGATGATGCCCGCTTTGTTTGCTGTCTGGGAGAATCCATTCTTATTGAAGATGACGGTAAGGCACGTGCAAAGGGAAGGTGTGAACTTTGGTGAGTGTTGCAGCTGAGTTCCCCAGGCCAACTCCCGCCCACTCCTCTTTGGGCTCACATAGGAGTATGTTTCAGGGTACAGAACCAGGATGAAGCCCCAGGGGAGAAACCTGTAGGAGTGTCCCAGGAATATCCTGAGAATGGCTCAGAGATCCTCTCCAACAAGTTGCCATCCGTGGGCACTGGGAGGACTAAAGATGAGTCCATGGGTGGTGCGCTCGTGTGTGGAATCCAGATAGAGCCTCCCAAGGCACACTGACTGGCAGGATTTCCATTCCGTACTCATGTGTTGGACTTCTCTACCAGGGGGGCACTGCCATTTCCCTTTCCTCTTTCAGATCATCTCACATCTATCATCTGCCTTCACCATTTCTTTCCTATCCTCTAGTGGCATTGCACTGGGATAGCCTGTCACCCTCATTCCTGAAGAAACCTGCCCCTTACTCTTGTCATGATTGCTTCACACCACCTCACATGTATCAGTATGCCAGACGATCCTGTGTGTGAAGGGCTTTGATTTGCCCAGACAGCACATGTTCTCCATCACAGGGCACTTCATCCAAAGTGAAATCAGCCCTTCAAAGAGATGCATATGCTGCGAGTTGCCGTGTGCTTCCTCCTGCATTGTGCCATCCTCTGAATGTACTGACGTGATAGTGAACCACTCCAACACAGAACATGCTTGCATTTGCCATGGCACAAAACACACACACACACGCACACACACACACACACACACACACACCCAGGAATTCCCCAGGACATGCCATCAACAGAAATACAGAAGTGAATGATGCACACACTGAGGCAAATCGCACCTGAGTTTCCCACCCATTTAAAACTCAACTTGTGACTTAATTGATGATAGCAAATCAGTTATCTATGCTCAGTGCACAAATTTGAGCCAACATGTGACGTTATAACACTTTGCACACTGTAAACACTATACTGTTTTACTTCCGTGTGTGCCTAATGCTCAACCAGAGAAAATCCTGAACAAGTAAACATCTTATGATTTAAATACCGAGTGTTGAGCTGTGATGACTTAGAAGAGCAACAGTGAAATTTTGAATGATGAATATGTGTTGTGTAAAGTAAAATATTGTATTGTTTCATTTGAGATAGTGTTCTTCTAGGCATATTGTAATGAGAGAGGAAAACTGCCAGAAGAGGTGTGGGCAAGCAGAATATGACATCTCAAGACAGAGAGTGGCTTTGAGGGTTCTAGAGGTCAAGAGCTGTGAAGAAGTACAGACAGGTGAAAGACACCAGGCCCTGGTAGATAGAACTTTTAGGACAAAACGTCTTCACTGTGTGGCGAGGAGAGTTGCTAGCGCTCAGTGCAAGAGAGCAGTGATGGAGGATAAAAGCAACAGTGTCCCTACAGGAACAGAGCAGTTTTCTCAGTGATGTTGGTTTCACTGTGTATGGAAGAGAGACCCCCAAAAAACTCAACTGTGAAAGCAGTTACGCTGCATGTCGGGAGTTTTGAAAGTGAAGTTTGGCAGAACATCACAGTTCTATAGTGAAAAAACTAACTCTTCCAGAGCAGAATTTTGGTGCATGTGATGGAGTAAAACCCCAATGCATGACAACTCAACATTTTCAAACTCCAAGTGACAAGTCAGGTGCTTTGGTGCACATGTGCGTTAGGATATTATAGGTGTGAATTTGTATGATGTCTGGAGCCCTGTCTGTTCTCAGACCTCAATATGTGACCTTGAGAATATGCAGGAATAGGAAAAAGCAATGAGCTTTGCCACATGTGTACACCCATGACCACTGTTGCATGTTCCAGAAAGCTCAACCCTACACCAGTGTGATGCACAACCTGCGTACTCTTTGGAGGAAAAGACCCTGGCCAAGAAGTCCGATGAAACATCTGATGAAATGGATTGCCACCTCGGCCACTCAGATTCACATGTGTCCCCTATTTCTGGTAAGGGCAGTGTGAGCTGAGGTGGGGCACACCAGTATATAGGAGAGGGAAACAGACGTGTGGTCTCCAAGCTGTTTAACATTTGTCGCAGAGTGAAGTAGTGTACCCCTAAGAGCAGTCACCCACTTACAAGAATAGGGGTGACATAAAGACATTTAAAAAGGTTATCAAAGGAAGAAGTAAGTGCAACAGTAGCTGACGCAGTCTGTACATGATAAAATCGACTGAACTCATGGTGTGGCCCTCAGGAACAAGTTCTGAGCTAAGTCTTTTGAGAGTATGTGACTGCATATAAGCTTCGATGGCTTAAATCCCCAAAACAATAATACCAATTCAGAACTGATAAATCAGCCCTGATTAAATTGCTGAATTCAACACCATGTCAATGACCCAAAGTAGTCGTATTCTAAGGTCCTGCTATTGTTCAGATTATGGATAAAACTAGTCCTACTAGCAACTATGAACTAGGGACCTAAGAGTATTAGGTATGTAGGGACCTCCCGTGTGTTAGAAAAAGCCTTAATTCAAGCTTAGTATATAAGCTTATACCGTGTAAAGCACTGTTACATATCACCGCGAGCTTACCTATTAGAAATACACATGCTGTAAACTGTTCTCTTACAGACCCGGCAGCAGGGGGACAGATAACACAAAATATGGCTTGCGAGGTTCGCATTCTTTATATTTGCAGGACTGGTCAGTCCCCTGTTGCTTGTAGTGGAGAATGCCCTTGCTTGTTAATACTTGGATTATGGTCTTAGTACTCTGGGATTGATAGCTTCTCAATTCTTAGCTCCAGCTCTTGCTTCCATCTGTCAGAACTCACCCATTTTTGACCTTCATGCCCTCTATTAAGTATCCTTTGGATGGCATTTATAACCTACATATGTGGTAAAAGATCATCGCCCCACCTCAAAATCCATGATTCAGTACCATCTGTAAAATCATCCTTGACATACTAGGGACCATCCTGGGGCTTTCCTGATGGAGACATGAACAGTTTGTGAGGGCAGGATTACGCAGCCTTTCACAGCGATCATGCAATTGTTAACGAGAATGAAGGAGACATAGATAAATGAATATTACAATTTCTTACAATGATTGCACCCTGACAGCATATTTTCAACAGATGCATCAAAAGGGACTCCACAAACAGTGTGTATGCATTGTGTCCACTTAGCCTTCAACACCCAGATACAACACTTTCTTTAGAACCTTTGTCCAGGAGGCAGACTGTGGTCAGGGTACTTATGCAGCTCAGAGCAGTTGGTTGGTATTCACTGAATGCTGAAATCATCTCTATTCCTGTGACAGCAAGGCCCCTTGGGGACAAATGCCTTAAACAATATATGCATTCTGTGCACTGTTCATTTGAATAGATGCAGAACCCAGATGAAGTTGCATCTCAGGGTTGTCATGTTGTCATCCTGTTCCACAGAAATATCTAAGGCGCTGGAGAATGCTTCTGAGTCATGTGCGACATTCTCATCCCATCCTAAGTCAGAAGAATATTTCTCCAACTCTGATGTTGACTGCTTTGTTTCTTCTCTGAGTGATTCCATTGCTGTGGAAACAAAAGGTAAGGCAGATTCTAAGGGAAAATATGAATTTTGATGAATGTTGCAGCTGAGATCCCCGTGCCAACTCCTGCTCACTCTGCACTGTGCTCACAATATGAGAGTGTTTCAGGGCACAGAGACTAGGATGAGGACTCCAGGAAGAGACCCATAGGGAGTGTAAGAAGAATGATTCACAGTTCTCAGTAACAATTTGCCATCATTCAGATGGCTTTAATTGAGCCCTGGGCTGTGCTAACATTATGACGGTGTAGGCCGAGCTTCTCCTAGCACACTGACGCAGTCTCCTCATGCAGTTGTTCCTCCAGCTCCATATCATAGATGGCCAGATTTTCTGTTTCTCTGGGAAGTCCCCTCAAATCCACCTCCATTCCTTTCATTCATCTCTTTTTTTTTTTTTTGACAGGCAGAGTGGACAGTGAGAGATAGAGAGGCAGAGAGAAAGGTCTTCCTTTTGCTGTTGGTTCACCCTCCAGTGGCCGCTGTGGCCAGCAAGCTGCGGCTGGCGCAATGCACTGATCAGATGGCAGGAGCCAGGTGCTTCTCCTGGACTCCCATGCAGGTGCAGGGCCCAAGGACTTGGGTCATCCTCCACTGCACTCCTGGGCCATAGCAGAGAGCTGGCCTGGAAGAGGGGCAACCAGGACAGAATCCGGTGCCCCGACCGGGACTAGAACCTGGGGTGCTGGTGCTGCAGGCGGAGGATTAGCCTATTGAGCTGCGACGCTGGCATCATTCACTCTTATGATATTTTATATGAACACTCTCATACTCTCTTTCCTGCAGCAGCGTTCCTTTACATTTCATCATTTCACATCCTCTAACAGAAATAACACATCGATCTTCCTAGTTCAAAGTCACGCTCTAGAATACATTTATGTCTGAACAAAATTCACTCAGTTCACTCACAGATAGGCGCACAGCATTTCCTCACATGTCATTGTGTCTAAAATGCCCCTCAGCCCTCAAAGAAATGCAGATGCTGAGTCTTCTGTGTGTGTTCTCCAACATGTTCATTTACCATCTCTTAGACCTACAGAGGCACAAGCCCGTTCATCAGACACACACACACACACAAATACCACATAACATGTACACCATGAAGACATTGACCACACACACACACGCACACACACACACACACACACCCCACAGAATGCATGTCATGGCAGAGAATACATACACACCATAATTTCCTTTCAGAAACACCCAAAAATGACCAGATATATAACAGAACACATCAGCCTCCACCAGACTCAGTGCACTCTCTTCCACATACTAAGAGATGGTAACCAAACACCTCACCTCACACATAGAAGACTGTGCCTCTCACACACATGACCCTCAGACCAACTTGAACCCCACAGATTTCAGGACGTTCTGCCAGCATTCTTACATTTGACGTTCTCTTGCCTAGAAATCTGCAAATCAAAAAAAGAGGCCCTGTGTATCCAGTCTAGGAAGATACCTCTACTCCAGGATCTGAAGCAACATCAGACTCCCTACCCGACCCAGTGCCGCTGCTTTAATTTCCATTTGGCTCATGAGCCCTGCACACCAGAAACACATATGAGGAAGGAGAGGCTCATGAAAGTCTATTACACGAGAGTCCAGAGGAAAAGAAATGCCAGCGTTGTCTGCTACACTCCAGATGAACTTGTGCCTCCCGGAAAGAGATCAAAAATTGAAGATGTAGCTTTTCCTGTCAAGATTCGTGCAGATCCCAGCTTTTGCTATCAGTCTTCAGAGTATCTTGTAACTGATGACTCCACGTACAGTGTGGAAGACAAAGAACAGGATCAGGAGGCTTCCAGCTGCCAGGCAGTGTTGTCAGCTGCAGAAGAGAATTTGCAGGCGAGGGCCAGCACACCTGAGTGGCCGGTGACCCCCGAGAGAGGATTCAAGTGCATGGCCTGCTGCCAAGTCTTCTCCAGCCTGGGGGACCTTGTAGACCATGTGAAGCATGGGGTCAAGGGGGACTTTAGTTGCCAGGTTTTCCATCTTGCCTTCACCTGGCTCGAAAGCAAGAGGCACATGATGGAGAAGAGGAACAAAAGAAAGAAGTCCACCAGGAAGACATCTGGATACAAGGAGAAATAGCTAGATAGGCAGAAATCCCCACACTAGTAATCTAGTCCCTTACCAGCCCCCATTAGCGAGCAGCCACACCCTCCTGAGACAGCCTATCAGCACTAAGAAGCCCTAGTCCCCCTGTTATCTCCACACTCCCACCAACAGTTATCAGAAGACTCCTTAGAGTGGGATCCATTCCTCTCCACAGGTAAAAGAGAGCCAATTTTTTGAGGAGTATGAATGGAAAGAGACAAGTAAGAAACCCCAATTACTCCAAGACCCGTATTGAGTAGATGACTTTGCTCAATCCTCTGGGAAAAATTTTCCACGGTATTCACTAGGAACCCTTAAGTGCAGACTTTTTCCTTAAATATAAGCAACTACATAAGAGGGACACAGGGCTTTTCTCTCCTGTCCTGGATCATGGCTGGTTGCTTTTATTTATGATTTGCCTTCTAGAGGACTCTCATGACCACTTTAGGAAATTTAAATAAATCTTACATCTTACTCTCTTTCTTACAGCATCAAATTTTCATGCCCCAAGTGACCGCCTGCGAAGTATTAAGTGTAGCATAGAGTTTTTGCAAGGTCTGGTTCATATCCAAGGTTATATCACTAACTCATGGACACATCAAGTGCCCTCCTTCTATTTTCAGCAGATCACTTAAGCAGTGTTTCATATAAATTGTCCTCAGTTTACCAAACCCTGCAGGAGATTTTGAGAGTGACTGAGAGCAATAAGACAAGCTTCCAACATTTCCTGAATTGATTGTCTCACAGCCGGGCAGGCACAGGGCCTGAATTCAGGTGTCCAGTGTAATGCAGCATTCCAGTGAACAAACAGTCAAAGCTGGGCTGGACATAGATGGAGCAGGTTTTACTGTGCTGCTTCTAAATAACCCTCAACAACGTGAAAAACCAGTTCTGAACAAAACATCCACAGAGCTGTGAGGAGCCCAGGGAACCCAGAGCACACTTCATCATCATCAGGACACTCCCCGATACTCTGAATCCCACAACAGGAAGGCGACACTGAGAGGGCTTCTGTGGTAACTTTGTGAAGAGGAGAGTATAGGTAGAGAGATTTTCAGAACACAAAGAAAACGTTATACACCTTGATCTATCCAGTAATGGGTTGCTCTATTGAGAGAAGATGTAAGGTATTCTCATTCTCTTCCCATGTGGAGGCCTAGTCTATCTTATGAAATACCTACCTTTAATTTCTTGTATACTTGAATACCTGTAATCTCACAGTTCTTCCAGGCAGATACTGAATTTCACCCATTCCACTTAATGCTTCCACACTACTGTCTCCTATATAGAACATCTATGAATATGTGCTTGACACAGGAAAAAAGTGAAATGCGGAACTTAAGTCACATGAATTTTAATACCCTTCTGTCCTGCATTCATCTCCTCTCGGTCCTTCCATGTTGACTAGTAGTTCATCACATGTTTCTTAATCTTTCTCTGAACATAACCCAGACCTTGTCCCAACTTTCCCCCAGTGCTCTGTCTTTGCATTGTCTGGCTGGAGGGCAGGCTTTTATGGAAAGAAGGAAGTAAGATACTTCATGGGTGAGCCAAAGTCCATGGTAACCCACCACTTGGCCTCTCCGAGCTTGTGCAGACACACAGGTGAACACGCACTTCTCCAGTGACAGTAGGAAGGATGGATATGTGTTAAGTGACCCAGGACAAACACCTGTATATAAAGGTGCACCCCAAGCCATAAGTTTTTGTTCTGCTTGAATGCAGTCTGGGTCGCTTATTGTTGTTTGTCATGTAATACAAATTAATCCATGCCTGTTAGCATCATACATGTGAATTTCTTCCATTTTGGTTATTTAAGACATGTATTCCTAAAATGAATGGCAATTGATGTCCTCACATTGATGTTGAAACAGTAGAGGATTTTCTTAAGCTCAGTCAATACACAGTACCCTTGATTGATTAGAGACATTGAAATTGCTTGAACATCTAAGTGGAATGATTGGACAGCAGTACAGTCGGTCTGACCTTGAAGTTCCTCAGTAAGTCCTGAGCTTAAATTTCTTTATGCAGCACTGTGCTTTGCACCCGGTATCTCATCATGAAAGGAGATGACAACATTCAGCAACTCATTTAAATACTACAGAGATGAAGTACGCATCATATGTGTGAGGATAGTGGGCTGGTAGAAGCACAGCTTTAGTATACCTCTTTATCATAGTTATTATTTCATACACTAGACATTCTAATTGCCGATGCATCACAAATCAGGATATTAACATTTATAGTGGTTAAAACATATACTGAAAATCCACTGTGTTTTTGACTGCCAAACCCTTTACTGTCATCATTGCACTTTTTCAACATATTATCTGAATGCCACACACACAGAGACATACTTTTAATCTGACTTCAGCCTCATTCCTCCTTTTAAATATAAACATTGAATATTCATAGACAGTAATAAAAGCAAATTTGTACAAGAAGTACTTTTAAAATTTACTATAAATTCCCACTGAGGAAAGCTAGTTTGTTCTAGTTGTCAGTCTATGTGTGTGTGTGTGCGTGTGCATATCTGTGATAATGTCAACTTTTATTTTTTAAGATTACTTGGTTTTATTTGAACAATAGTGTTACACAGAGAGAGGTAGAAACAAAGATGTCTTCCATCTGCTGTTCGTTCCCAAAATGAACACATATGCTGAAGGCTGGGCAAATGCAAAACTTGATTCAGGGAGTCCATCTGGGTCTCTGAAATGAATGACAGAGGCCCGACCACTGAGCTATCCTGTGCTGCTTTCCCATGCACATCCATAGGAAGCTGGATCAGAAGTGGAGCAATGGGGAATTTACCCAGTGACAATATGGAATACAGTAATGCAGGCTTTCGTTTAACCGGGTAAGCTTCAGTGCCAGTCCTAACTGTTCTCCTTACAAAAGCAGTTTTCTTTACATCTCCACATGCATTCCATCAGAACAAATAATTTTAGGTTTGCTGACATTTGTTTAAGGATATGCATTCTTTGTGCCTTTATTTTCGTGTGATTTTATTTATATAGGGTGAACTAATTTCATGCATTCCATATGTACACATTTAGAAGCATAGCGTTATGTCTTGCTACCCGCCAACACACCCATGATCCCATCCTCCTCCCTTTCTTACTAGTTAAATATTCCCAGTTGCATACTTGGAGCTTATTTTATAGTCAAAATGGTTCCCTCCACTAAGTAAACATTCAACAGAAGTAACAAGGAAAGAATCCTGTTCATCAGGGTTTTTTTTTTTTTTTTTTATGACTGACTTATACGAAAGGTAGAGAGAGGGAATGCTGTTCCATCTACTTGTGCACTCCTCAAATGGCCATATTGTTCGGCACTGGTCTAGACTGAAGACAGAAGCTTAGAAATCAATATATGAGTCTATCATGGGTGTCAAGCACTTGAGCACTGGGGCTGGGCCCCTCCAAGCTCAGGAGGTTCATCAGGGTCTCCAGTGTGGATGCAGGGCTAACACAATTGGGCCATCTGCTGCTGCTTTCCAAGGCACATGAATAGGGAGCTGGATCAGAAGAGGAGCTGCAGAGACTTCAGCCAGTGCCCATATGGGGTGCAGGCATTGCAGGTGGAAGTTTAACCTGTGTGCCACGGTGCTAGTCCCCAACATGCACTCTTAGTTGCTTTCAATAAGAAAGTTAGTGATTAGATGTACCATTACTGTTTATAGCCTTGCTCTATTCATGCTAAACACCAATGTTTTTTTTATTCTTTTATTAATTGAACAGTTTATTTAGTGGAACATTAAATCTGAAACTGCAGATTCAAATAAGTCATTACGAAAGTTAAAAACATGGAAATACATGAGTGAGGGAAGGAATACCCAGGGCAGGCTCCGCAATGGCTCTGGGCCCCGAAGAAGCTCCACCCAGCAGATGCCCCACCGCTGGTTCCTGGATTCTGAGTCCTCCTGCATCCCTTCATTGCAGGATCTCTCCGAGATACCTGAATCCCTCCTCCCTGATGAGCCCTGGGAACTCTGCTGGCATTTTCTCTGTCCATCTGAGGAGCCGCCACCTCTGCGCAGTGAGCGGAGCTGACACCTGTGGTGTGGCCTGCACACTGCAGACCTCTGGCACCCTACTTGAGTGTCTCAGGTTGTCCAGGTTGCAAAGTCCCTGACGCTTCAGCCTGGCCAAACTGAGAGTCTCAGAGGCTGAGGCCAAGCAAGAGACAGGTGGCTGCTGCTGTTCATGACACCGCCTCCAGGATGACCATGACTGGTCACTAGTCACAACAAATGGCAGGGTAGCCAAGATGGCACTGGAAAGCAGCAGCTGGCCAGGCCTAATTGAGAATTCAGGAAGAGCATGTCTTCCCGCAGAGTTTCTTAAAAAGAATTCTTGAGGAGAAGGTGCATGGCAGCTCTGGCTGTTGACAACTTTGATCCAGGCGTTCACCTGCCTGAGGAAGCACAGAGACAGTACGCACACAGAGATGCCTGGGGGCACAGTCTGCCCAGCTGCTGGGTCCTGGTGAAGCATGCTGGCTGTGCCCTTCCTGTTGTGGCTATAAGACTTCACATTGGAGAACAATGAAACCTGGACTAGGAGGGAGTGAGTGGCGCTCAGGTGCTCACTGTATACAAACAGAAGCCACGTGCCTGTTAGCCCAGCTGCTGCCCCCTGCCACCGGATCTCTCGTCCTCTCTCTCACTCCAGTTTCCCCTCCCTCATTCTTTTCTCTCTCGAACTCCTGCCTGTTCTCCTCCTTGACCTCATTCCCTTGTTCTGGGAGAGAAATGGGGGCTGTCCCAAGCACACCTGGTACCTGCTGCCCATTCTTAAGTTCCTATATTGTCTGGCTCAACACTGACAGCAAAGCATGGTGTGAAAGGGGCAGGCTTGTTGTCTGAGGGGGCCTCTGTTTCCAGCATCCACTCCAAAATGAGCCTTGTTAGGGTAGCCCCTAAACTTCCTTTCTTAGCATAGGCAGTAGAAGAATCTGGAGGATTTTGAAAAATGGCTCTTAGCTTACAGAGCTTCAGGAGGGACCGACCCAAATAAGTGAATTGTGTCGGATATCTTGGAAAATGCATCCTGTTCCAGAGATAGACTCCCATGAGCCAGGTACTCTGTTCTGTTCCGTCTGCATTCAGGGCTGGAAGAGGTGAAAGTGCTCCTCTGTTCACAGAGGTAGAAAGGAAGCCAGAAGCAGTCCACTCTGTCCTGAGCCAGGCACCTGTTTCAGAGAGGCAATGGTGAGGCCAGTTTCAGGACCTGAGTGAAAGGCAAGGACAGACAGATGCTTGACGCATCACTAAGTTGTACCAAATTCCCTGCCATCCACCAGTACCAAAATTATTATTTGTAGGGAGCATTTTGAATAAAAAGATATAGCCCATAGCTTCCAATTTTGGTTTGCCTGCCCCCTCCCTCCCTTTGGAATGTCTGATGTCTCATTGCTATACATGGATTCAACTGGAACAGTTGCAGGTGCAAGAATGAGCACAGCCCCACTGAATCCCCTTAAGGGGATTCTTAAGGGAGGTAGGGAGAAACACAGAGAACAGCTTCTCAAAAAAGTAAGTTGAGATGAGAAACTGCTAAGAAAAGAATAGGTCAATTACCAGGCAACGTCATCTGCAACGGCCTTTTTCGTTCTTGAACTTCAACATGTGTCTTCAGTTTCAATTTCAAATGAGATCAAGAGTGCTGGCGGAGAAATAATTCTAAAGACTGCTAAAGGGAAATTGAGCTATCCTATTCACTGCCAAACCAATAAGAGACAAAGAAGAAACAAAGAAACAAACGAGAAGTATATTTTCCAAGCAAGGTTTGTTCAA